AGTCTCTAAGGTGCCACAAGTACTCCTGTTCTTCTTTTTGCGGATACAGACTAACACGGCTGCTACTCTGAAACCTTCTTTTATTTACTTATCTACTTTTGTACAAGAGTTTTTACAAATTACAGTGTGTTTCGATACCACATTTATCATGTGTCATAATAAAAGGAAACCACATACAACCTTTATGAAAAAAATGAGGACACTGCCTGTGATTTACTGTGCAGTACTTATGAAGAATGCATCTTCTGCAGAGGCATTACAGATGCTAAGGTTTTTCACAGGAAATGTTTAAAAATCAACACAAATTATTATATCAAAGAAACTGACAAATATAAATCACAAAATTCTACTCTTTACTAATAAAACAAATATGCACGGTCATTTCCTCCTCTGTTAAAAGCAACTTTTGCTTGAAAGTCTGCTCAGTGAAAGCCTATTTTAACTCTTAGGTACAACCCTTCACGGGAAGTAAAGTTGAATCTTGTAGTATCTAACCTACGGAGTGGTTTTTTGTTTTTGTTTTTTGCCAGAATATTTGGAAGCGTAAGACATGCCTATAGTACAATACAATTTTCCTTTCACTGGACATTCAGCATATCACAGTAAATGACGGGGTTAAGAAGGGATATGTGTTTACATAGTGAGATCTTTTTAAAATTGAGATCCCTATTCCGCTATCTCATCGAACTCTGGTCCTGACCCTACAAACCTTACCCGCATGAACGCTCTCTATTTATGTTCCAACTCCTACTTCAATGAATCAATCAGGACCAAAATTTGTTCTAAATTTTGAGCAGACGTTCCAAAATTTGGCCTTCTATTTGCAAATATAGGAACATTTTTTATGAAAAATATATTTTAATTATACCTAATATCCAGATGTAGTGACAGCACCAGTGTTACTAACTAAAGTCACAATAAATAGATATATGAAGTGTTTTCATTAGCAATACTAACCTAAACTAATAACCCAAATAATAATTTGTCCTAGCCTGAAAGAATATTAACCCTGTTTTCTGACAAGTGACTATTTTCTATTCAAAATGTAATTATTTGAAAAGAAATCCCCAAACTATGTATAAATACATGTCAAGCTATCTGGACTAGTTACAGGCTTCTAGCTCACAATAGCAAACTCTTTTCAAATAGATATAAGAGGTTGCATTATGGTTGTGTTGCTGAACTTTATGTAGTGCGTTGCATGGGTCTTTAATCCCTGGTGTTTGACAGGTCATAGTTTAAAATGTTCAGCTGTATTATGGCTTTTAAAAATGCACTTATATTGTGGTACTTTCCCTCCCTCCTTCCCAGCTTGGACCATTCCATGCATATTGGTGACAACTTTGATCTCTCTTCATCTCCTTCCCCGAGTCAGTGCCATTTAATGTATCTCAGGCATTTTGCTAGCAGAATGACTCTGTACCTTGACCTGCAGTTAAATAGCATGTTTATCTGCAATACAGTGTGCTCCAAATAAACCAGATGACAGTTTGGAATAACGTCATTTGGAAGGATTGAAAAGCTTCTCAAGAGTCAGGTACCCCCGAGGTAATAAGCTTGAAGGAAGCATGTTTTGTGCCAACCCTCCTGCCATCTTCTACTAGACGCTCATGTGCTTGACAATGATGCCATGGGCACTTGTCAAGATTTTTTTTATTTTTGCCTGGCAAACTGATGCACTTTGCAGTCAACTTACAAAAAAGGCTAAGCATTTGAAAGTGTGAAGGGCAAAAAATATCTGACGGCTAGTCTTCAAAAATACACTTTCATTTCAGAAAGTATAAATGTTTATTTCCTGACCTGAGTGTTGACAGAAATAGGCTGCAGTGCAGGCATATGAATTTAACCCCTGCTAGGCATTCTTTTCAGTGCCATTTTTATAAAGCTGAGTGCAAGCATTGTAAATCTACAGGGTGTCTCATAATATCAGTTAGCAATGGCATTGATTTGCTGGTTACAGTTGTTGGATTTTTTGGGGGGGCGGGTGGGGAATTGTAATGTTTCTCCCTCTAAAAATAGCGACTTTTCAACACACAGTATATCACACTCAAACTGTAATTATGCCATAATGATTCACTGCGATCACTAAGTGTGCATTGAGAGAAGGTTGATTGAGCAACTTAGCATATGCTTGATTTTTCCTTTCACATACCAATAAACCCAGTGCTTAGAGGAAGTGAGGAATAAATAGGTAACAAAGGCCTTAGCGTTTTTATTATGTGTCCTTCCACTAACAAGAAGCTGAACTATACTATCCACAGTATTGGGAGTTATAAGCCACGGTTACATACAGATTTAGCAGACTTTTAAATGGGGCTATTTAATCCATTGCTCTCTTCAAATATC